AGCGATGCAATCTGTTAGTACCTGGTGGATTGCTGCAGAAAAGAACGGGTGAGGGGGACATGGGAATCTGGATGGAGGGAGACAAGGGGCATTGTGACATTCGACCAGAATTGACAAAAAAACAGTTTCGGATGGTTAACCGCTTACCCAGAAAATTGGCAGTTTTGGAGGCTTAGTAGTGTTATTCAGACGATTGGACGAATCGTGAAGGCCAGACGATTTTGAAAATTCTAAATTTTAAAATTTCGATTTGTGACGTCACACTTCCGAGAAACGTTGAAAATGGCCATTTTAGAAGAAATTCCAAAAGAGAACACAACAACAACGATAGTTGCGAGAGAAACTACGATGGGAAACAGAAAAATACGACAGAGTATTCGCAGAGACCGCTCCGAGTTGTAACGATTGGCAACAAAGCCATTCACACTAACGGTGAAGGGTGGTAGAACCGTGAATTCAGCCTTCCGGAGAGGAAATAAGAGTGTTATTTCCCCGGATCAGGAATCCGGAGGGGTCTTGAGACTGATTTTAATTAGTTTCATACAAACTTTTAGCTTCTGTTCATGCCCTGAATTGGATTTATATAACATCTAGACTCATTTTCTGATAAGAAGAAGCTAGGAGTTGAGGGAAAGGGTTGATCCATCTTCGATGGAGATGATGATTTTCATCTACTGAACAAAAACAAAAGTAATATAATATATAGTAGTAGCCCTGTTTTTATGAGTGTCCTCGTGGTCTGGGGATACTGAGACCCAGCCAAGAGCTCACTAATTTTGCTAGTAAGTAAGTTAGTTTGTGCGTTCTGGTCGAAGCCGGAGAACAGTAACGTTTTTGTCGACCCGAAGTTAGAAAGACCACCGAAAGAACTGGCTTTGGTAGAGACTGTGAAAAGCATGTAGAGCTTTGTTTATACGCTCGCCAGTCGTTTTACAACCTAGCTTTATTTTCCGTCGAAATGTACTTCCAGGCGAATGTTACATAGATGTTTTTATGACGCTCCTTGGTGTTATTCTTTTTTAACATCATGACCGTCAGAACCGTTAACGAGCATTCCGCGCCCTTAATAAGCCCTAACCGCCGGGGCGGAAGGGTAGTTCGGAACCCGGAAGCCTTCCGGATTCCCGTGAATAGCTTTTTAACCTAGTTAAGACCAAACATTCACGTTCCAGGAAGGGTGGGGGGATCGGCCGTCCCCTCGTTGATTGAGAGATCTGTGACCAAAAACAATTAAAGATATACAAGAAACCAAACAAAAAGTAGTATAATACCCAAAAAAAACAAAAAACATAAAAAAATAACCGAAAAAACCAAAAACAGTGAAAAAGTATAAAATCAGTAGAAATCATCACCCAGACGAGATGTGATCCGACCCTCCCATTTGTTGTTATTAGATATAGTGTTGTTACAGGCATTTAGATCAGTTGAGATCGTTACGATCAATTGTGTGGCCCGTTTGTGAGGCTTGTAATGTAGGGTTATTTGAGTATTTAAGCACGCTGATGCTAATTTGCGCTCAATCCGGAAGGGTCTCGGGATTAGTGAAGAAGACTGATCCGGCAAGCAGTTCAAGGAGCGACAAGAGGGGGCTCAATGATAACAACAATCGACTGTTGGGTATCGTTAACAAGTTTTGTATCCCTTTTGGTACAAAAAGTAAGATAGTAATCTGTGGGGGTCTCGACAGTGCTGCACTGTAGTGACCCTTCACCCAACTGCGAATTTCCGAGTTAAGCACCTTAATTCGGATATTGAACAAACCTGGATGGGTATAGTATTACTAGTATTATTTTTTATACAGTCTATATTAATACTCCTATATCGTTTTTCGGCGAAAAACAGAGTAAGCGGACCGGTTTTTAGCGTCAAAAAAGCGATATTTTGATCCCACCACAAATCGCGATTTTTGAGATATCGATATTTTTTGAAACGGAACAAAAAGCTAAATTAGTGAGTTACATTGTAACTGTACTAGTATAATAGGTAGAACCGGTTGAGTTTAGTTCAGAATTGGTTGGAACTATTTGGGTACCAAAAACCGAATTTTCGTGATTTTTGAATAAACGAAACGCTATAAAGTTAAAACATTTTTTGACATTTTTGAGTAAGGACAGTAAAAACTGTTGTTTGGAAAACTTCCACTAAAGAATCGTCAGTTTTTAAAACCCGTTTGCAAACAACCTTCCGGGTTACAGAGAAATCGAATTTAACGTTTTGACTTAGTGGATTCATCAATCCGGAGGGGTCCAAATAGCATTGTTTTTGGCAAGTTTTTTTCAACTAGAGCAATTTAGATCAATTTTTTGCATTAAACTAGAAAAGTACAGGCCTTCTGAGCTCGGATCAATAATTTTTAGATCGGAAAGAACAGAATTGCGAAAAAAGATAGGCAGAACCTATAAGAGACAAATTTTTTGACCTTAGAAAAAAGACGTTTTGGTTAATAACATTGGAACTGCTGCACAGATCCAGTTGATCTTGGTACCATTAGATCAGAATTTAGTTGAGCTTACTAATAGAAACATCAATGATTCAAAAAAGTGGGCGTGAAATTTTTTTAAGATTGTTTTTAGCAAATTCACCAATTCGGGAAGGTAGACCCTTCACGTTTTATAAAAAAAATTGTTGGAAAGCCCTTACAACCCTACCAAAGGATAGTGACGGTTGAATAAGGCAATTTTACGCTGTTGCAGACAAAAAGAGAAGGCTAAGGGGACCAGAAAACTATAGTCAATTCGAAACTAGCATAGTGCCAAGACCATTCACCGTTAGAGTGAATCGTCAAATAAGAGGCTTAACTTCAATCCGGAAGGGTTTTGGGAAAGACTAAACACCCTTCCTAGTTAGTTCGAACAGCATAAAAGCATCGGAGATCGTATCCAGAAGGGTATCGGGTGAAAATTTAAAAAAGTCCTCGAGAGCCTGTTTTTACAAACCCGGAGGGGTCCCAATCCGGAGGGGTCCCAAGTTTGCCAATCCGGAGGGGTCCCAATTTTGTCAATCCGGAAGGGTCCTATTTTCACCAATCCGGAGGGGTCCTATTTTTGCCAATCTGGAGGGTTCTAATTTTGCCAATCCGGAGGAGTCACAATTTTGTCAATCCGGATGGGTATTGTTTTGTCAAGACTTAAGAGGACAACAGAAAAGAAAGTAGTTAAAGGTATTAGGTTATTAGGAGATTGGCTGGGAACCAGTGACTGCACTGGTAACTTGCCTTTTATAAAAAAAACCAAACCAAAACAAAACAGGTCTAAGCTCGGATATTCGCGACACTAAGTCTAGATTGAACAAGAGTGTGTAACTCATTGGTGTGGATTGAAATCCAAAACGTTTTTGAGAAAAGTGATTTCTCCGAGAATTGTAGTGGGTCTAGCTCGGGAAGTCCGAAGGCAGATAGGTAACACAGGACTCGGTGGGTGCAATAAACGCCCACTTGAGAAAATTAATGCCCTCAAGTTTTGTCTGTTTGGTGCTGCACCAAGCAGGGAAAGGTCTTTATTTAGAAACAAGTTCGACTATTGTATTGCGATCAACTAAAAGGACAAAACACATACGTTTTTCAAAGAAAATATTCTTATTTTTGTTTTTTGGGTTTTAAATCAATAATATTTGTGCTTGATTGGGTAGTGAGAACACACTTTTTTAGATAAGTTGACATCATCATACTGTGCTAGCTTCACTTTTTAAATTTAATAATCGATCATTGTGAATAAAATGTATACACGCTGTACTGAGATAACATACAAGGATTTGTGGTCACTATTTAAAAGAAACGTTTGAAATTTATTGTGTTCTGTTATTATTATCAGTAGTCAGATTAAAAGGACACTAGCAATCGAATTGAGTGTATAGGCAGTAAGAAGTGGTAAATTGAATATGAGTCTAGACAAGTCAAGGATACCTAAACTAGGTGATAGCTCCAGGAAATTCATACCTGAGAAACAGAGAAAAGCTAGGACCGACCCTTTTGTGGAAAGGATCACACGAACCCGGACCGACAATGGGGAGACGGTTTCAGGCAGAATGATTGAGACCAGGAATCAAAAGTCCTCAGCAGAGCGAAAAGCAATGCTAGAAGTGGACGTCCATCCGGACCAGGCCATGGACGAGAACCAGGAAATACTTAGACCGGAGGGGAGAGGAGCAGAAGGCTGGCGAGTGAATCTACTCCGGTAGAACAAGACCAAGATTTTGCCACTTCCACCTGGACACTGGACCGAGAGGAGATGTCGGAACTGTCCGACATCTCTTCTGAAATTGTGGCAACTAGAAGATCTCACACACACAACTCCTTGAAGGCAGGCGTGACGGAGAAACAGGCAACGTCCTCATCGTTTTCAAAGAGAGTGAAGAACACTTTCGGAAACATCTTTCCTTTTACCATGGGAGCGGGTACAGGCGATGAAGGAGAATCCCAGGAGGAAGAAGAGGACGATGACGAGCAAGTTGACTTTGGATATCGAGTCAGCCTCAATAGTTGGACTCAGGAGAATGAAGCATACACCGACAGAGGGACTGGTACCATGGACCAATTTGGTGTAGTGAGGACAATAAGCAAAACCACAAACCCATCAGGCTAATCAGGAGACTTTGTGAGTATGACGAAATCGGAAATGCGAACTGGGGAGAATAGATCCACAGGGCTAAGCAACGCACCAGCGGATCCAGAGATGGATAATGAAAAGACGTCGAGGCAGAGAATCAAAGCCCGAATCTCGACCAACACCAAACTACTTGGGATCGACAGGGTGACACCGCCACTTGTGACGCCACTAGTGGACAACGGAGTATCAATTGAAGAAGCCTTGACCAACATAGTGGGCAGCATAGGAGAACAGAATGAACAGATGTTCATAAGAATGAGTGAACTAGAAAGAGCAGTCCACGTCCAGAGAGAAAATCTGCGGGAATAAATAAACCACAATAGACAAGAAGTTGGTAGAAGCGAAAAACGCTTGAAGGAAAGAACGGATGAACACTTGGCGAAGAAGTTGTCGTGAATGACAAGGGAAGCGGAACAGAGAGAGTCACGATTGAGAGACGACATGGAGAAGTTGAGAATTCAAGAAGAGCAGACTCTTGAGACTCTTGACATAAAGATAGATGCGATGATGGAGATGCGAACTCAGGCTATCATGGATAGGTTGGACGGGCTACTAGGCAGCAGGAGTGGACCAAAAGATGGGAAACCGAACTCGGGAGGACCCAGCAGGGAGCCGAGGGTGAACTTCAATGACCAACAAAATAGGAGAAGGACATATGGTTCCACTAGAGGTAGGGGAAATTCATCAGGCTATGCCCCAGGGTATAATAGAAGATGGGGCTCAAACATCGGAGGAAGTTCAACTGGAAACAGACAGACCTCAAAAGAACGCCCGACGCAAGGCACACATGCGACTGGGAGAGGTGATTCCAGTAACAGGAGTCATGCGAGCCCAGGGATGAGTCATGTGAGCCAAGGAAGAAACAATCCAAGTGAATCGGACGGAAGGGAAGTTCCAAGTGCAGAACCCTTATCAGGGGGCAATGGTACTCAAGCAGGGCATTCAAGAGAGGTTACATCAATAGCCACAGCCTTTGAACATCTGAACAGGTCTTTGGAGACATTCCTTACGAGGTTATCTAGAACCAATGAACGTAGCGAAAAGTCCAGAATGGTTTTTAAGAAACCAAGATGCTACAAAGACGAATCTGATGGCTGTATTGATACCTGGATAGAAGTTATGAAACTGCATTTTGAGGAAGAGGACTTGTCAGAAAGGCAAGAATGCAGTGCGCTTACCAGTAACTTGGAAGGGACATCCCTAAACTGCGTGATGGCCAAAAAGCAGTACCAACTGAGAATCTTTGAAATCTTGTTAAATCGTTTTGGCTCAGGGCTGCAGAGACATCAAGCAATGATGCGCTTCGAGCAACGGAGGCAACGAGAAGATGAGACGATAGACAAGTTTCTAGACGATTTGGAGATGCTGAGAAGGCGCAGCCAACCAGATGAGTCAAACAGAAGGATGGACCTGGCAGTAGCCTCAAAGTTCATCGATGGTAAGAAGAATGATGAACTTCGAACAATGTTAGCAACACATAACACACCACTCTCAACCAATGCGCCAACACCAGAGGAGTTGAGTTTCAAGTCAAAAGAACATCTTTTGCTGAAGCCTCCATCGAGATCTGGATATTACAAGAACAATTATGGCAATTTTAACAACGAACCAGCAAACCAAGGGAACAACTGTTACAAACCAAGGGACGATATGGACAAGAGGCGCTCTTGTGCCAATTGCAGTTTGACGGACCATCATGTGTCAGCATACCCAACTTACAAACAGGGCATGAAAGCAATAGGCTTTAGCCTCGAGGACGAAGATGCGTCAGAAGTCGACCATGAAGATTTCATGAGAGGAGTAATTGCAAAATTCAGCCCGAGGTGCTTCTTTTGTAACTTGGAAGGTCATTTCAAATGGGATTGTCCGCAATTCTGGGATGCTGTAGCAGACATCAAGCATCCACGGCATGTGGAAGCTTTATCGGGTGTGAAAGCCAGTAAGGCTCGCCTATTGAGTGAAGCGGAGGCGCGCAGAAAAAAAAACCGCAAGAGCTGGCAACGAAGAAGATGAAGGCGGTAACGGAAGAGACATGTGAACCGGAACCCGTGACTGCGGCGGATGACTTCAAGGTTGATTATAGGGCAGCCGCGAGGGATGCTCTGAATAGAGTGCAACAGGAACTGAAAACGTGAAGCTCGAATTGGAAAATGAGAAACTACGGGAGAAGTTGAATACCTTCGAGGCAACAGAAGTCGAAGAAACAAAGGCACCAAGTAGTTTGAGCATCAAACTAAAGGTGATCTCCGGGCAGAGGTTCGGTATGGTGCCACAAGGAAGCAAAATACAATCGATAATCTCGGTAGCGGGACACCAGGTAATCAGAAATCTGAGTGAACCATCAGAGTTCACTTTGATGCATTTGGACACATATGCAGATTATCTGAGGGAGGTGGAGCCACGCACTGAATCAAGAACTGTGCGAGTACTACTAACAACGGGTGGCCCTCGAATAAAGAAGCTTCACGGGCGCTACGTGGAAGTCCACGGACCGTATCAAGTGATGCTGAACGTGGATGGAATCAGTATCTACACTAGGACATATGTGACAACAGACAGTGACCAAATAGGGCAGATCTATTTGGGTGAAGAAGAACTTAAAGTCCGTAGGATAGGCCATGACGGCATGATGGAGCAAGACGCGGTTCACATTGGATACGAAGCAGATGTGACTGCACATCTGCTCGACACCAACGGAAAAAAAATCGGAGTCACAGGGCTTCTTGGCTGGAAGAGGAAGAGCAGTGCGCTTACCAGTAACTTGGAAGGGTTAGCCCTAAACTGCAGGATGGCCAAAAAGCAGTACCAACTTGACACTTTGAAATCTTGTTAAATCATTTTGGCTCAGGGCTGCAGAGACATCAAGCAATGATGCGCTTCGAGAAACGGAGGCAACGAGAAGATGAGACGATAGACAAGTTTCTAGACGATTTGGAGATGCTGAGAAGGTGTAGCCAACCAGATGAGTCAAACAGAAGGATGAACCTGGCAGTAGCCTCAAAGTTCATCGATGGTAAGAAGAATGATGAACTTGGAACAATGTTAGCAACACATAACACACCACTCTCAACCAAAGCGCCAACACCAGAGGAATTGAGTTTCAAGTCAAAAGAACATCTTTTGCTGAAGCCTCCATCGAGATCTGGATATTACAAAAACAATTATGGCAATTTTAACAACGGACCAGCAAACCAAGGGAACAACTGGTACAAACCAAGGGACGATATGGACAAGAGGCGCTCTTGTGCAAATTGCAGTTCGACGGACCATCATGTGTCAGCATACCCAACATACAAACAGGGCATGAAAGCAATAGGCTTTAGCCTCGAGGACGAAGATGCGTCAGAAGTCGACCATGAAGATTTCATGAGAGGAGTAATTGCAAAATTCAGCCCGAGGTGCTTCTTTTGTAACTTTGGCTTCTTGGCTGGAAGAGGAAGAACAGTGCGCTTAACAGTAACTTGGAAGGGTTAGCCCTAACCTGCGGGATGGCCAAAAAGCAGTACCAACTTGACATTGCTGAGAAAATCTTCGAAATCTTGTTAAATCGTTTTGGCTCAGGGCTGCAGAGACATCAAGCAATGATGCGCTTCGAGAAACGGAGGCAACGAGAAGATGAGACGATAGACAAGTTTCTAGACGATTTGGAGATGCTGAGAAGGTGTAGCCAACCAGATGAGTCAAACAGAAGGATGAACCTGGCAGTAGCCTCAAAGTTCATCGATGGTAAGAAGAATGATGAACTTGGAACAATGTTAGCAACACATAACACACCACTCTCAACCAAAGCGCCAACACCAGAGGAATTGAGTTTCAAGTCAAAAGAACATCTTTTGCTGAAGCCTCCATCGAGATCTGGATATTACAAGAACAATTATGGCAATTTTAACAACGGACCAGCAAACCAAGGGAACAACTGGTACAAACCAAGGGACGATATGGACAAGAGGCACTCTTGTGCAAATTGCAGTTCGACGGACCATCATGTGTCAGCATACCCAACATACAAACAGGGCATGAAAGCAATAGGCTTTAGCCTCGAGGACGAAGATGCGTCAGAAGTCGACCATGAAGATTTCATGAGAGGAGTAATTGCAAAATTCAGCCCGAGGTGCTTCTTTTGTAACTTGGAAGGTCATTTCAAATCGGATTGTCCGCAATTCTGGGATGCTGTAGCAGACATCAAGCATCCAAGGCATGAGGAAGCTTTATCGGGTGTGAAAGCGAGTAAGGCTCGCCTATTGAGTGAAGCGGAGGCGCGCAGAAAAGCAAAACCGCAAGAGCTGGCAACGAAGAAGATGAAGGCGGTAACGGAAGAGACATGTGAACCGGAACCGGTGACTGCGGCGGATGACTTCAAGGTTGATTATAGGGCAGCCGCGAGGGATGCTCTTAATAGAGTGCAACAGGAACTGAAAACAAAAGAGATCGAGCAAAAAGTGAAGCTCGAATTGGAAAATGAGAAACTACGGGAGAAACGGAATACCTTCGAGGCAACAGAAGTCGAAGAAACAAAGGCACCAAGTGCCATATGGAAGCAAAATACAATCGATAATCTCGGTAGCGGGACACCAGGTAATCAGAAATCTGAGTGAACCATCAGAGTTCACTTTAATGCATTTGGACACATATGCAGATTATCTGAGGGAGGTGGAGCCACGCACTGAATCAAGAACTGTGCGAGTACTACTAACAACGGGTGGCCCTCGAATAAAGAAGCTTCACGGGCGCTACGTGGAAGTCTATGGACCGTATCAAGTGATGCTGAACGTGGATGGAATCAGTATCTACACTAGGACATTTGTGACAACAGACAGTGACCAAATAGGGCAGATCTATTTGGGTGAAGAAGAACTTAAAGTCCGTAGGATAGGCCATGACGGCATGATGGAGCAAGACGCGGTTCACATTGGATAGGAAGCAGATGTGACTGCACATCTGCTCGACACCAACGGAAAGAAAATTGGAGTCACAGGGCTTCTTGGCTGGAAGAGGAAGAACAGTGCGCTTAACAGTAACTTGGAAGGGTTAGCCCTAACCTGCGGGATGGCCAAAAAGCAGTACCAACTTGACATTGCTGAGAAAATCTTCGAAATCTTGTTAAATCGTTTTGGCTCAGGGCTGCAGAGACATCAAGCAATGATGCGCTTCGAGAAACGGAGGCAACGAGAAGATGAGACGATAGACAAGTTTCTAGACGATTTGGAGATGCTGAGAAGGTGTAGCCAACCAGATGAGTCAAACAGAAGGATGAACCTGGCAGTAGCCTCAAAGTTCATCGATGGTAAGAAGAATGATGAACTTGGAACAATGTTAGCAACACATAACACACCACTCTCAACCAAAGCGCCAACACCAGAGGAATTGAGTTTCAAGTCAAAAGAACATCTTTTGCTGAAGCCTCAATCGAGATCTGGATATTACAAGAACAATTATGGCAATTTTAACAACGGACCAGCAAACCAAGGGAACAACTGGTACAAACCAAGGGACAATATGGACAAGAGGCGCTCTTGTGCAAATTGCAGTTCGACGGACCATCATGTGTCAGCATACCCAACACACAAACAGGGCATGAAAGCAATATAGCTTTAGCCTCGAGGACGAAGATGCGTCAGAAGTCGACCATGAAGATTTCATGAGAGGAGTAATTGCAAAATTCGGCCCGAGGTGCTTCTTTTGTTACTTTGAAGGTCATTTCAAATCGGATTGTCCGCAATTTTGGTATGCTGTAGCAGACATCAAGAATCCAAGGCATGAGGAAGCTTTATCGAGTGTGAAAGCCAGTAAGGCTCGCCTATTGAGTGAAGCGAATGCGCGCAGAAAAGAAAAACCGCAAGAGCTGGCAACGAAGAAGATGAAGGCGGTAACGGATGAGACATGTGAACCAGAACCGGTGACTGCGGCGGATGACTTCAAGGTTGATTATAGGGCAGCCGCGAGGGATGCTCTAAATAGAGTGCAACAGGAACTGGTAACAAACGAGATCGAGCAAAAAGTGAAGCTTGAATTGGAAAATGAGAAACCACAGGAGAAGCTGAATGCCTTCGAGGCAACAGAAGTCGAAAAAACAAAGGCACCAAGTAGTTTGAGCATGAAACTAAATGTGATCTCCGGGCAGAGGTTCGGTATGGTGCCACATGGAAGCAAAATACAATCGATAATCTCGGTAGCGGGACACCAGGTAATCAGAAATCTGAGTGAACCATCAGAGTTCACTTTGATGCATTTGGACACATATGCAGATTATCTGAGGGAGGTGGAGCCACGCACTGAATCAGGAACTGTGCGAGTACTACAAACAACGGGTGGCCCTCGAATAAAGAAGCTTCACGGGCGCTACGTGGAAGTCTATGGACCGTATCAAGTGATGCTGAACGTGGATGGAATCAGTATCTACACTAGGACATATGTGACAACAGACAGTGACCAAATAGGGCAGATCTATTTGGGTGAAGAAGAACTTAAAGTCCGTAGGATAGGCCATGACGGCATGATGGAGCAAGACGCGGTTCACATTGGATACGAAGCAGATGTGACTGCACATCTGCTCGACACCAACGGAAATAAAATCGGAGTCACAGGGCTTCTTGGCTGGAAGGGGAAGAGCAGTGCGCTCACCAGTAACTTGGAAGGGTTAGCCCTAAACTGCGGGATGGCCCAAAAGCAGTACCAACTTGACACTTTGAAATCTTGTTAAATCGTTTTGGCTCAGGGCTGCGGAGACATCAAGCAATGATGCGCTTCGAGAAACGGAGGCAACGAGAAGATGAGACGATAGACAAGTTTCTAGACGATTTGAAGATGCTGAGAAGGCGTAGCCAACCAGATGAGTCAAACAGAAGAATGAACCTGGCAGTAGCCCCAAAGTTCATCGATGGTGTGAAGAATGATGAACTACGAACAATGTTATTAACACATAACACACCACTTTCAACCAATGCCCCAACACCAGAGGAGTTGAGTTTCAAATCAAAAGAATATATTTTGCTGAAGCATCCATCGAGATCTGGATATTACAAGAAGAATTATGGCAATTTTAACAACGGACCAGCAAACCAAGGGAACAACTGGTACAAACCAAGGGACGATATGGACAAGAGGCGCTCTTGTGCAAATTGCAGTTCGACGGACCATCATGTGTCAGCATGCCCAACTTACAAACAGGGCATGAAAGCAATAGGCTTTAGCCTCGAGGACGATGATGCGTCAGAAGTCGACCATGAAGATTTCATGAGAGGAGTAATTGCAAAATTCGGCCCGAGGTGAATCTTTTGTAACTTGGAAGGTCATTTCAAATCGGATTGTCCGCAATTTTGGTATGCTGTAGCAGACATCAAGAATCCAAGGCATGAGGCAGCTTTATCGGTTGAGAAAGCCAGTAAGGCTCGCCTATTGAGTGAAGCGGAGGTGCGCAGAAAAGAAAAACCGCAAGAGCTGGCAACGAAGAAGATGAAGGCGGTAACGGATGAGACATGTGAACCAGAACCGTTGACTGCGGCGGATGACTTCAAGGTTGATTATAGGGCAGCCGCGAGGGATGCTCTAAATAGAGTGCAACAGGAACTGGTAACAAACGAGATCGAGCAAAAAGTGAAGCTTGAATTGGAAAATGAGAAACCACAGGAGAAGCTGAATGCCTTCGAGGCAACAGAAGTCGAAAAAACAAAGGCATCAAGTAGTTTGAGCATGAAACTAAATGTGATCTCCGGGCAGAGGTTCGGTATGGTGCCACAAGGAAGCAAAATACAATCGATAATCTCGGTAGCGTTACACCAGGTAATCAGAAATCTGAGTGAACTATCAGAGTTCACTTTGATGCATTTGGACACATATGCAGATTATCTGAGGGAGGTGGAGCCACGCACTGAATCAAGAACTGTGCGAGTACTACTAACAACGGGTGGCCCTCGAATAAAGAAGCTTCACGGGCGCTACGTGGAAGTCCACGGACCGTATCAAGTGATGCTGAACGTGGATGGAATCAGTATCTACACTAGGACATATGTGACAACAGACAGTGACCAATTAGGGCAGATCTATTTGGGTGAAGAAGAACTTAAATTCCGTAGGATAGGCCATGACGGCATGATGGAGCAAGACGCGGTTCACATTGGATACGAAGCAGATGTGACTGCACATCTGCTCGACACAAACGGAAAGAAAATCGGAGTCACAGGGCTTCTGGACACAAGAGCGGTAGTGAGCGTGATGCCGATAAAAACTTGGGAGAGAATGGGCTTCACGAGGGAAGATCCAATTCTGACAAATCTCCGACTGGCCGCGGCCAATCGAGGAGCGAATTACGTAGCCTGAAGAACACCAATAACGGTCCTACACATGGGAGGACGGAATCTTTGGATGAGCTTCCTGATAGTAAAGAATATGGATGACTCCGACCAATTCATCTTGGGCAGAGATTTTGTCAGGAATTTCGACGTGATGATTGACTTGAACAACGGTCTAATAAGGATTAGAAACCCGGACCGGAAATATATTGAGAAACCAATTAATAGAATCATAACAGATGAAAATAAGGTACCAATCTTTTTAGATAGAAAGGTAAAACTACAGCCGGGACATAGAATGAGGAATTTGAATTCACTAAGTGATAGTAAACAGGTTTGTTTAGTACCGAATCCAAATAGTCAAAGTTCAGTGATTTTAGGCCGGAGCTTCTCGGTAACTCGAAACGGACTGTGTGTCAGTGTGTTATTGAACACACTGGACACCACGGTTTCAATCCAGCGTGGAAAGAAACTTGCTTACGGTTTTCTGATGAGGACCGACTATGAAGAGACACAAAACTTGAAGAGATATAGTGTGAAAGACTGTCCTTGTCATGCAAATAATAATAAAATTTTAAAGAGGATTAATGAATTAAAATCTATTCATAAACTGTTTTCATTGAAGTCCGAAGCGGACAACGGTTTGTCGAGCTGCTCGAATTTTCCGGAACGCCCCTCGTCATTTGAACTAGAATCTGACAAAGCGGTTTTGCCAGAAATGAAAACACTTAAAAGGGAAAATAGGTGAGGGAGGTTTTGAATTATTGCGGGCGGTTTCAAATCGGAACGCGGATGTATTTTCAAAACATAAGGCAGATATCGGTTGTTGCAATTTCGTCGAACACCAGATCGAATTAGAAGAAGGCGCCGTTCCGCACAGGGAAAGCGCAAGACGAATGACGCCACATAAATCGGAAGCGTCATTTTTTAACATCATGACCGTCAGAACCGTTAACGAGCATTCCGCGCCCTTAATAAGCCCTAACCGCCGGGGCGGAAGGGTAGTTCGGAACCCGGAAGCCTTCCGGATTCCCGTGAATAGCTTTTTAACCTAGTTAAGACCAAACATTCACGTTCCAGGAAGGGTGGGGGGATCGGCCGTCCCCTCGTTGATTGAGAGATCTGTGACCAAAAACAATTAAAGATATACAAGAAACCAAACAAAAAGTAGTATAATACCCAAAAAAAACAAAAAACATAAAAAAATAACCGAAAAAACCAAAAACAGTGAAAAAGTATAAAATCAGTAGAAATCATCACCCAGACGAGATGTGATCCGACCCTCCCATTTGTTGTTATTAGATATAGTGTTGTTACAGGCATTTAGATCAGTTGAGATCGTTACGATCAATTGTGTGGCCCGTTTGTGAGGCTTGTAATGTAGGGTTATTTGAGTATTTAAGCACGCTGATGCTAATTTGCGCTCAATCCGGAAGGGTCTCGGGATTAGTGAAGAAGACTGATCCGGCAAGCAGTTCAAGGAGCGACAAGAGGGGGCTCAATGATAACAACAATCGACTGTTGGGTATCGTTAACAAGTTTTGTATCCCTTTTGGTACAAAAAGTAAGATAGTAATCTGTGGGGGTCTCGACAGTGCTGCACTGTAGTGACCCTTCACCCAACTGCGAATTTCCGAGTTAAGCACCTTAATTCGGATATTGAACAAACCTGGATGGGTATAGTATTACTAGTATTATTTTTTATACAGTCTATATTAATACTCCTATATCGTTTTTCGGCGAAAAACAGAGTAAGCGGACCGGTTTTTAGCGTCAAAAAAGCGATATTTTGATCCCACCACAAATCGCGATTTTTGAGATATCGATATTTTTTGAAACGGAACAAAAAGCTAAATTAGTGAGTTACATTGTAACTGTACTAGTATAATAGGTAGAACCGGTTGAGTTTAGTTCAGAATTGGTTGGAACTATTTGGGTACCAAAAACCGAATTTTCGTGATTTTTGAATAAACGAAACGCTATAAAGTTAAAACATTTTTTGACATTTTTGAGTAAGGACAGTAAAAACTGTTGTTTGGAAAACTTCCACTAAAGAATCGTCAGTTTTTAAAACCCGTTTGCAAACAACCTTCCGGGTTACAGAGAAATCGAATTTAACGTTTTGACTTAGTGGATTCATCAATCCGGAGGGGTCCAAATAGCATTGTTTTTGGCAAGTTTTTTTCAACTAGAGCAATTTAGATCAATTTTTTGCATTAAACTAGAAAAGTACAGGCCTTCTGAGCTCGGATCAATAATTTTTAGATCGGAAAGAACAGAATTGCGAAAAAAGATAGGCAGAACCTATAAGAGACAAATTTTTTGACCTTAGAAAAAAGACGTTTTGGTTAATAACATTGGAACTGCTGCACAGATCCAGTTGATCTTGGTACCATTAGATCAGAATTTAGTTGAGCTTACTAATAGAAACATCAATGATTCAAAAAAGTGGGCGTGAAATTTTTTTAAGATTGTTTTTAGCAAATTCACCAATTCGGGAAGGTAGACCCTTCACGTTTTATAAAAAAAATTGTTGGAAAGCCCTTACAACCCTACCAAAGGATAGTGACGGTTGAATAAGGCAATTTTACGCTGTTGCAGACAAAAAGAGAAGGCTAAGGGGACCAGAAAACTATAGTCAATTCGAAACTAGCATAGTGCCAAGACCATTCACCGTTAGAGTGAATCGTCAAATAAGAGGCTTAACTTCAATCCGGAAGGGTTTTGGGAAAGACTAAACACCCTTCCTAGTTAGTTCGAACAGCATAAAAGCATCGGAGATCGTATCCAGAAGGGTATCGGGTGAAAATTTAAAAAAGTCCTCGAGAGCCTGTTTTTACAAACCCGGAGGGGTCCCAATCCGGAGGGGTCCCAAGTTTGCCAATCCGGAGGGGTCCCAATTTTGTCAATCCGGAAGGGTCCTATTTTCACCAATCCGGAGGGGTCCTATTTTTGCCAATCTGGAGGGTTCTAATTTTGCCAATCCGGAGGAGTCACAATTTTGTCAATCCGGATGGGTATTGTTTTGTCAAGACTTAAGAGGACAACAGAAAAGAAAGTAGTTAAAGGTATTAGGTTATTAGGAGATTGGCTGGGAACCAGTGACTGCACTGGTAACTTGCCTTTTATAAAAAAAACCAAACCAAAACAAAACAGGTCTAAGCTCGGATATTCGCGACACTAAGTCTAGATTGAACAAGAGTGTGTAACTCATTGGTGTGGATTGAAATCCAAAACGTTTTTGAGAAAAGTGATTTCTCCGAGAATTGTAGTGGGTCTAGCTCGGGAAGTCCGAAGGCAGATAGGTAACACAGGACTCGGTGGGTGCAATAAACGCCCACTTGAGAAAATTAATGCCCTCAAGTTTTGTCTGTTTGGTGCTGCACCAAGCAGGGAAAGGTCTTTATTTAGAAACAAGTTCGACTATTGTATTGCGATCAACTAAAAGGACAAAACACATACGTTTTTCAAAGAAAATATTCTTATTTTTGTTTTTTGGGTTTTAAATCAATAATATTTGTGCTTGATTGGGTAGTGAGAACACACTTTTTTAGATAAGTTGACATCATCATACTGTGCTAGCTTCACTTTTTAAATTTAATAATCGATCATTGTGAATAAAATGTATACACGCTGTACTGAGATAACATACAAGGATTTGTGGTCACTATTTAAAAGAAACGTTTGAAATTTATTGTGTTCTGTTATTATTATCAGTAGTCAGATTAAAAGGACACTAGCAATCGAATTGAGTGTATAGGCAGTAAGAAGTGGTAAATTGAATATGAGTCTAGACAAGTCAAGGATACCTAAACTAGGTGATAGCTCCAGGAAATTCATACCTGAGAAACAGAGAAAAGCTAGGACCGACCCTTTTGTGGAAAGGATCACACGAACCCGGACCGACAATGGGGAGACGGTTTCAGGCAGAATGATTGAGACCAGGAATCAAAAGTCCTCAGCAGAGCGAAAAGCAATGCTAGAAGTGGACGTCCATCCGGACCAGGCCATGGACGAGAACCAGGAAATACTTAGACCGGAGGGGAGAGGAGCAGAAGGCTGGCGAGTGAATCTACTCCGGTAGAACAAGACCAAGATTTTGCCACTTCCACCTGGACACTGGACCGAGAGGAGATGTCGGAACTGTCCGACATCTCTTCTGAAATTGTGGCAACTAGAAGATCTCACACACACAACTCCTTGAAGGCAGGCGTGACGGAGAAACAGGCAACGTCCTCATCGTTTTCAAAGAGAGTGAAGAACACTTTCGGAAACATCTTTCCTTTTACCATGGGAGCGGGTACAGGCGATGAAGGAGAATCCCAGGAGGAAGAAGAGGACGATGACGAGCAAGTTGACTTTGGATATCGAGTCAGCCTCAATAGTTGGACTCAGGAGAATGAAGCATACACCGACAGAGGGACTGGTACCATGGACCAATTTGGTGTAGTGAGGACAATAAGCAAAACCACAAACCCATCAGGCTAATCAGGAGACTTTGTGAGTATGACGAAATCGGAAATGCGAACTGGGGAGAATAGATCCACAGGGCTAAGCAACGCACCAGCGGATCCAGAGATGGATAATGAAAAGACGTCGAGGCAGAGAATCAAAGCCCGAATCTCGACCAACACCAAACTACTTGGGATCGACAGGGTGACACCGCCACTTGTGACGCCACTAGTGGACAACGGAGTATCAATTGAAGAAGCCTTGACCAACATAGTGGGCAGCATAGGAGAACAGAATGAACAGATGTTCATAAGAATGAGTGAACTAGAAAGAGCAGTCCACGTCCAGAGAGAAAATCTGCGGGAATAAATAAACCACAATAGACAAGAAGTTGGTAGAAGCGAAAAACGCTTGAAGGAAAGAACGGATGAACACTTGGCGAAGAAGTTGTCGTGAATGACAAGGGAAGCGGAACAGAGAGAGTCACGATTGAGAGACGACATGGAGAAGTTGAGAATTCAAGAAGAGCAGACTCTTGAGACTCTTGACATAAAGATAGATGCGATGATGGAGATG